CCCTGACTCCATGCGGGGAGCCATGGGCACCAGGCAGGAAAGCAGGGGGGCACCCTGGTTCTGCCCCGCGCTACTCACCCGAGACTGCTGGTGTAGGTCTGGCCCAGGACACAGTCGTCAGGCGGGGACAGGGGGTTAAGCCAGAAGCTGGCAAAGCACTTGTCGGCGTCGGACTCGGAGGAGGGGCTGCGCTCAAATCCGTAGTCACTGGGAGGAGGGAAAAACGGCTGTCAGGAGACAGCGTGGGTCAGGGGCCTCATGCTGAGGGCGCAGAAGCGGATCCACAGGGCCCTGTCCCAGAGGGAAGACAGGACTGAAGGCCGACAGTTACGTTCCAGGTGAGAAGGGATGCAAAGGGGATTCCAGCAAATCATAGGAGAGCACTGAGCCCAGCCTGGTTGTCCTGGAGGAGGTGGGCTGAAGCTCAATGGAAGATCAAGAGGCAGTCAGGGGAAGAGGGGGCGAAGGGCACTGCAGGCAGGGACCGGCCCCTTCAACACTGGTGCAGGGAGACAGTGGTGAAGGTGGCTGATGGAGAGAGGTGAGGATGACTGGGGAGGGAGGCAGGTTCCAGAACTGGGACATCCTCCTGTGGGCAGCAGGCGGCCATGGGAGTCCTTGAGCGGAGGCAGGGGAGTGGTCAGGGGGCTTTCGGCAGAGTCTCTGGACAGAGGAGAAGGGGCTGGGTGGTACACCCGGTCCCCGGGATGCCCTCCCTGTTCCTCAGTTTCCCCGCCCACCTGTGAGCACTGCCACGTGCACAGGTTTTGAAACGAGGCCCACGAGTTCTTTAATGCGGGCTGGACCCAGTGGCTGGGTCCTAAAGCACAGAGTAGGGGGGAAGTGATGGAGGGTGACTCTTGAGCCCTCCCCTGGCATCACCTGTGGGGACAGCGGCTGTCACCAGGCTACTCAGCCCCAGGGGCCCGGGGCATAGCGGGACCCTCACCAGAGAAAGTCCGAGTCACGGCACTGGCACACGCGGGCCGTGAGCGCCGCCGTGAAGCTCCGACCCTTGATGCACCAGGACGTAGGCTTCCTCCTCCGGAAACTCCTCTGCTGGCCCAGGACACAGCGGTCGCCCTGTGCAGGAAGGCCAGGGTGAGGGGCTGCTCTGCATGGGCTCCCACTGCTACTGCTGCTGGTTCCTCACTTGCCGGCCAGCCCTAGGGGCCGGGAAACCGGGGCCCGGGGGAGGGGTGTGCGTGCCTGAGGCCAACCTAGGGTAGCCTGGCTCCCATCCCACCCGCCCTAGCATTCACTGAGCTCCCACTGTGTACATGCTCCGTCTGGGCCCTGAGGCGTGGCAGGGCTGCTGGAAGAGGCCCCTTGCATTCACTCCTCAGGCCTGAGGGTGCTAGGTGGGTCCTGTGCAGCTGGGGTGATCCGCAGCCTCCAGGACTCACAGTAGGTCCTCAGCCAATGATCAGAAAAGGCCACACTTGTGTGAACGGGAGCCATGGTGCAGGGTCCCCCCAGAAATTCCAGAGCCGCCCTCGCTCTGAAATCCTGTCCTGTGGCCACACCACCTGCTCTGAACTGCACTGGGAGGCCATTTCGAGTCCTCATTTATTCCTCTCCGTGTGAATATGACACATTTTGCTGTAGAAACATGTATGTCTTTGAGATTATAGGGTGGGGCTGCCCCAGACCCGCTGGGGTGTTACCTAATATATGATACACGTGCCCTGTTACCTTCCCTCGATCTGAAAACTCCTGGACCCCGAGCATGCCTGTCTCCAGGCTGGCTGGGGCCCTGTGCACCTGTTCCCCTGAGTATGACTGCAGGCTCTGGCCCAGGCAGCCCCAGGCCCCAGAGGGGGCCGGAACACCGCAAAGGAGGACTGGGCATCTGAGGGAGGCCCTCGGTCCCGCAGGACGGGGACTTTGTCCGGCAGAGGGGGCCCCGCGTGGTGCCCACCCCCCGCCTGCGGCCAGGCCCACCTGCAGGTTGGTGAGGTTCCAGGAGCTGTAGTCTTCCTCGCTGCACTGCCTGGAGAACCAGGGCCGGAAGTCCACCTTGACCAGCTCCCAGTCCGAGCGGAAGCTGATGTGGCCGAAGATGCTGGGGAGGGGGCGGGGGGAGGGGCGGGAAACCACCTTAGTCTGGCCCGTCCCCCAGGTGCCCACCGCTTCCCCTGCGGGCCTCTGTTCCCACCTGCACAGCGGGCCCCGTGGTCCCTCCCCTGCCCCCACTGGGCTGCCCTGGAACCAGGCACCTGCCCTGGGCCCGGCTGGCCACGAACATTTGGGCGTCGGCGTTAGTATTCCCACAGTCATCACATGTAATCTATGGCTTGTTGATGGCGTCGGTGGGGGTCATCCCACCTGGCCCCCTGGTGGCCGAGGAAGCCGGCACTGTAGGGTCAGGAGCCTGGACCCTCCCACATCCCCCATGCTAGTCCTTGCAGAATTGTTTTGCAGAACGATTCATGGTCAGGTGTCTGCGTCCTGTGCTCTCTGGCTTCTCCTCGCCTTTCTTCCCACCTGACCACTCCAGGAGGCCTGCGCTGCAGACAGCCAGCTCCGCCTAGCTGGGCCACAGCCTTTTCACCCCAAGCAGAACCGACAATCCAAAGAGAAGTAACGAGTCATCACATCGGCTCAGAGCGACGGGGTGGAAAGGATCTCAGTGTGGTCCTTGCTGCGTGGCCCCGGCCTCGGTGGGTGGAGCACCATGGGGGCTCTGCAAAAGCCAGTCCTCTATGGAGCACAGGCAGGGTGCTGGGAGCCCCGTGTACGCCATCTGGTCTACCTCACCACAGCCCACTCTACAGAAAGGAAAACTGAGGCACAGAGAGGTTGAGTAACTTGCTCAAGGTCACACAGCTTGTTTGTGCCATTTCTTCTCCCTCAGCAGGCATTGGTGGAGTGCCTACATGTACCCAGATCCCTCACCCTCTGGGAAGGCTGCTGCTTAAGGGATTTCCACCCGATCCTCCCAACACCTCACACTTGGGCTCCAGATACCACCACAGAAGAGACCAGCCTGTACATCTCCAGTTCACCCTATAGTACCCAGGCCATATTATCAGAGGTCAAGCATCTGGGAGGAAGTGAAGCACCCACCCTGGTCTTGGTCCCCTTCCATGCACACCGACAGGAGCCGGATACTTGGGGGAAGCCAGTCATGGTCTGAAAGGGTGCAAACCCCGTTCTAGGAGAGTAGCTGAGAAGGCCCTTGGAGTGTGTTCCGGGGGATATGCTGGCTGGCTCTGAATGTCTGAGGCTGATATTTGAAGACGAATTTTGGAGTTTTGGCTCCATAGGGCACCTCTGAGCCAGGTAAGCCTGGGCTGATACCCATTTACTATGTCTGTGACCTTGGGCAGGTCCATTCTTCTCTGTACCTCAGTTTCCTTGGCTCTAAAATGGGGACAATACACTGGCCTTTCAGGATCGATGGTGGATTAGCAATGGTTTGTGTAGGATGCTTGGCACTTAGTAGGAGATTTATACACACATATGCACAACACACACTCACGTGTGCACATACACCCGTGCGCACACACATGCTCACACATTCTCACGTGCACACACATTACCTCTACTGCCCAGAACAGCCCCCCGAAGCAGATACCATGATCTTTATTTTACAGACAAGACCCCGAGCCTCTGCAGGGGCCTCCTCTGATCCGAGCGGCCCCGGAGGCTCCCTCCGTCTCAGCCTTCACCTGCCTTTGTGGTCCGCCTCTCCGTCCTCCCGTCCTGGGCTCCCCGACCGCCGGCAGCCCTGGCCTCTCGCCCGCTCGTGTTTGGTTGTGAATAATCCATCCTGCCCGAGGTGCGAGTCGGAGCCCCCGCCGCTGTTTCTCAGCCCGGGGCCTCTCCTGATGCTGGTGGACGTGGCCCAGCGAGGACCGGATGGCCCGCTCCTCCTCCGCCGGGCCCAGCGGCTCCCGCAGATGCTGTTTCCGACGGTGAGGTCGTAGGAGGCCCGGATGGTGGCGACCGTGGCCGTGAAGGTGTGAAGGTGTCGTGCCGGTCCTCTGTCCCGACTCCCATCCTGACGCGGACGGCCCTCTCCCTGGGAGTGTCACCACGTGGGGATCTTCTTTGTCACGGTGTCCCCTTCTCCCAAGCAAAGCCTGCTGGGTTGGTTACTGAGAACGAGAGGGTCTTCGGTCCCTGAAGGGACGTCTCTAAGGGACAATTTCCGGGTCCTCACACAGCCTGAGCTGCGTCTCTTGCTCTTCTGGAAGCCACGTTATAATGGAGGTGACGGCAGCAGTAACTGCTGGCCTGTACTCTGTACCTGCTACGCGCGCGACCTCCCATCCTGTCCTCACCAACCCCGTGCGGAACGTACTGTTAACATTCCCACCTTACGGACAAGGAGACTGAGGCAAGGGAGCCCCTCAGGATGGCACGGCAGCCGCCCACCTCCCGGCGCAGCCAGGGTCGGTCCCCAGGTTGGCGACCACGGGGCTGGGATGCTTTGCCCAGGAAACACGCGCTGGCCCGAGCGTGACCACCGCGCAGCCTCCCAGGCTGGCGGCACAGGCCCCGCCGGGGAGGTCCCTGAAAGGAGGCCGGCTTGCTCGATCTAACTAATCCTCTCCGTGTCTTTGACGTCGTGCCTTTTATGAAACCCCAAAGCTCAGCTGATGCTTCGAGAAATATATGTCATCCGGCTGATTCTGAGTTTTAGGAAGGAGATGCTAGAGGGAGGCTATTTATCGCTTCACGATTAATAAGGAAAATGTGGGCCGGCCTCTGCAGGTTAAAGAGGAGCCCCACGCCCTTCAAAGAGCTCCCTCCCCTCCCCTAGTGCAGCCCGGAGAGGATCTGGGAGCCCACTCTCCCCCCCCCACAGGGCCTGGGGCCCCTCACCCCTCTGAGGCTGCACTGGTGGGGGTGGGAGGCTGAGCAGGGGTGATCCAAGCTGAGGGAAACATCCCCAAAGGTGACTACGGTGAGCTTGGACGTGACCTTTGGGCAGATCTGGATAAAGAACCATCTGGGGAAATTGCTCTCAACTGTGCAGGAAATAGGACAGCGGGGGATAGAGAGAGAGAGGCAGAGAGACAGAGGATGGGGAAGGGAGGGAGAGACAGAGAGAGGGAGAGAAGGAGAGAGACAGGAAGGGAAGGAGGGGGAGTGGACAGGATGCTAGGTCTGAGCGCTTCCAGCAGTCTGGAGAGATGGACCTTTATTCTAACACGCCAGCATGTTCCCTCTTTCAGAGTTGAAATTATTTCTGTGCCAACCGGAATTTGGAAATGGTCTGATGATGTGGCACAGTGAAGGAGGAGGCCTGTAGGAACAGCTCTGATGCTTTTTCAAAAAAAAACTTGAGGTTATAGCATCTGGCTCTGAATTCTGCCAAGAGTGTTCCAGGAATAAGACGCGCCATCTGTTGATGAGTGCTGAAAACTGGGCTGTTTCTGGGTCCAAACCCAGCACTGATGCGGTGACAAAGGGCTTGACGTCCTGAAGCTCCTAGGTCAAGGCCCTGGGGTAGAAAGCACGCCCATTTCTCAGCTGGGGAAGCTGAGGCTTCAGACCCAGCTGTCTTGTTCAACCTCTGCAAAACCAGTACGGGCCAGCCATCTCCCGTGGTGTTTCTGACGCTTCCCTTCTGCTCCGTGGACTCTGGTCCTGGAAAACTGGTCAACCAGCAAAGAGTCCAGGCTGAGCCCGGCCGCCACACCACAGAGAGCCCTGCGTTGGCCCAGGCTGGAGTCTTCCTCCCTTCCCGGCCCACCCCAGACCGAAGCCTCCAAGAGCACGAGGGGAGCATAAATACGTGACGTCCTGAAGGATTTAACTCATTCCAGGGCCAGAGAGAAGAGGAGCTAGGTGTGCAGGGAGAGGCTCAAGTGGGGTGTTTAGGGAACTAGAAAGGTGATGATTCCTGACCCAGTTTTTATAGGACAGCCTCTGGGGTCCCCCTTCCAGCTCTGGCTCTCCAGGAACCATGCAGAGCTGATGTGAGGGGTCCCCCTTTGCCACCACTCCCTCGGTGCAGACTTATTGAGATTTTTAGCACTTCTAGAAGAAGGGGGAATAAATCTTCCCTGGAGATTTCCTATGAGAATAAAATGAGATAACGTAAAAAAAATGGACCCATAACATATAGTATGTGCTCAATAAAGCTTCATTACAGAACTTGCTGCAAGAGGCCATACTGGGAAAGATGTAGGGAGGATGCCAGGACTCCTCAGTCCTGGTGGCAGGGGAGGCCCCCTGGAGGGGTCACTGAAGCCGGATTTAGGTCTGGCAGGAACTTAGATGGCTCTCCTGTCTCAAACATCCTGAGAAAGGAGTCCGCACTACCGTTTCCACATCCCTTTGCTCCATCTTCCATTCCCAGAAGCCTGGGCGGTGGGCACACAGGCGGCCGTGGTCCCTGGTGGCCCGCGGTGGGGGGCTTACCAAAGCTGTACTCCCATCCTCCATTCCAGACAGCCAGAGGAGCCTGGCGACGGGGTGTTCACATGAGCATCCACAGGAGCCCCAGGGCAGAGGTGGGCCTGGAGGGGTAATGTCCACACTGGGCGGTTTCCTTCCAGTTCAGGCCTCAGGCTGGGGGCCAGGCACCCCTGGGGGCTTATCCGAGTGGCCCCTCTGGGGCATTCAGAACGGTGAAGACCTGGCTCCTCACAGGCGATGGGGAGCCGGCCGGGACAGGGGCGTGAAAGCCATCATGAGCTGGAAGGGCAGACGGGAGGGCATGAGTTGTTCTCTCACCAGGGACTCACTCCCAGGCAATGACTCCAGCTGGGCACACGGACCTGGGCATGCTCTCCAGGCCGAGCGGGCAGGGTGAGGAGTCCTAGCACCCGGCCACTCCGCTGGGAATGGACGGAACCAGCCCGTCTGCTCCAGAAGGGCTGAGCCAGAGCTGGGTCACAGTTCAAATCCTCACGTGGAAAAGCATCAATCCTTCTGTACCCGCAGCTCGTCCTTGGGCCTGGGTCTCACTGGCCCAGTCCTGGTTCAAAGGTCAGCTGCTCCAAGACTCCTTGATCACCACCCACCCCAAAAGCGACCCTTCAGCCCCCAGCCCCTCAGCTGGCTGGCCCTGTTGTATCAGCATCTTTCACGTTATCGAGGAACCATGTCACTCTTGGTTATATTTGATCTGTCTGCCTGGGCCACCAGCTCTGTGGGTCCTTGGAGTCCCTGGTGCCCAGACAGAGAGTGGCACATGGCAGGCCAGGCTGGAATGACCGGAGAAAGGCTGGCCTTGAGATAGGCTGGGACCTGGGACCCTTTGCTGCAGTGCTGGCACCTGGACAAACGTCTCCTTGAGCCACAAAATACAAAGAAACTATAAGGGACTAAAAATAACTGTGTGTATGCCCAGTTGGGGCAAATTATGGACAACAAGATACAAAAAGACCAAAAACACAACTGCCACTTCTGAAGAGCCGGGAACAAAAGCAGGGTACTGAGCATGCTCCCTGCACACAACCCCACCTAAGGGGTGGGCAGACCTCCTAAGCCACCCCTCCGGCTGACCCCAGGATACACCTCTACCTTCACCCCATAGAAGGAAGCCGCTCGCCACCTCCCTCCGCCGTCCTCGGGAAGCGAGCACGGGAACCTCTTACTTGTTTTCACTCCCTGCTGCTGCAGCAGGAGCCTTCCTGGGCTGGGGACCCAGACCCAGCCCTGCCCTCTGGAAGCTTCCTCAAAGTCTGCTGTGGGGAGAGAGGAAGTAACTTGGGAGGCCAACCAGAGACCGAGGTGTCCAAAGTGCCGGGTCCCCTCCCAGCGTCAGTGGCCCTGGCCTACATTGGGCTGTCATGAGGGGAAGAGTCATGGGGCCTTGGGTGGCTTCCTGGGGCCACCTTAACTCACGTCCACAAACTCCTGCTTCAGACAATGGAAACGTATCTCCTCACCGTTCTGGAGGCCAGAAACCTGCGACGTGGGTGTTCACAGAGCGGGCGTCCTCTGCAGGCCACAGGGGAGGGTCCTTCCTGCCTCTTCTAGCTCCTGGGGCTCCCGGCGTGCCTGGGCTGTGGTCGCATCACACTGGCCTCTGCCACGTCTTCACATGACGGTGTGGCTGCGCATCTAACCCAATCCCTCTTCGTATAAGACACGAATCATTGGATTAGGGCCCCACCCTCCACCTGTGTGACCTCATCTCAACTAAGCACGTCGGCAAAGGTCCTGTTCCCAAGTAAGGTCACATCCACAGGTTCTGGGTGGACGTGGATTTGGGGGGACACGGCTCTCCCCAGTACAGGGGTCATCAATAAAAGCCAAGCAGAGTGCACGGGGCCCGATCTCCTGCACCCAGTGCAGCCAGGCATGCACAGCATCGGCGGGGCTGTTAGAAATGCAGAGTCTCAGGCCCCACCCTGGCTTGTGAATCAGCTCTGCCTGAACAAGTGCCTAGATGGGCGAATCATCCAGGAAGGAGGCTTCCAAAGGTGGACCCTCATTTCGTGGTTTCTGGGGGAGCGCCTTGTCTCCCCAGCGGGGCCACAGGGCACAATCAAGCCCTGGGTGCCTTTTTCAATCCCCGCCTGCTCAGGCTCTGCTCCTGGGCTGTGAGCCACTCTGAACAGGGATGCGCTTGACCTAAGCCAGGGTCAAGGGGCTGGGTTCACAGCCTGGATCTGCCCTTCACTGGCCCATTTGGGTCTTAGGTCCTCTCTGTGCCATGTGCCTACAAGTTCTTCACAGGTGCCAATAGCCAATAATCATCACTACCATTATCACCCTCACCACAGCATCAGCTTCATGAACACCATCATCAACACCATCACCACCATCAACATCACCACAATTATCATCATCATTATCACCATCATCACCATCATCAACACCATCACCACGATCATTATCACCATCATCATCACTGTCACCACCACCACCATCATCATCCTCACCGTCAGCATCACCTTCACTATCACCATCATCACCACCATCACCATCATCATCACCATCATCACCATCATCAGCACCATCATCAGCACCATCATCAACACCACCATCAACACCATCATCATCACCATCATCATCACCTTCACTATCACCATCATCACCATCATCACCATCATCACCATCATCAGCACCATCATCATCACCATCATCACCATCGTCAACACCACCATCAACACCATCATCATCATCACCATCATCACTATCATCACCATCACCATCATCACCACCATCACCATCATCATCACCATCATCACCATCATCATCACCATCATCACCATCAACACCATCATCACCATCATCACCATCATCACCATCATCCTCACCATCAACACCATCATCACCACCATCATTATCACCATCAGCATCACCTTCACTATCACCATCACCACCATCATCATCATCACCATCACCATCATCATCACTGTCACCATCACCATCACCATCATCATCACCATCATCACCACCATCACCACCATCATCATCATCACCATCATCATCATCATCACCACCATCATCATCATCATCACCATCATCACCATCACCATCATCACCGTCACCATCACCATCACCATCATCATCATCATCACCATCAACCTCACCATCATCACCACCATCATCATCACCACCATCATCAACACCATCACCTCACCATCATCCTCACCATCATCACATTATCATCACCACCACCACCACCATCATCATCACCATCTGAAAGGTTAAGTGGACAGTGACCCAGAGCTGACCCTTGACTCTTGGTTCCACCCCTCACCAGCAGGTGATCATGGGCAGGTGACAAATGTCCCTGACTAGGGACAGAGTGGCCACTTCCCAGTGGCTTAGGATGAGAGGAAACAGTAGATGGTAAGAGATAAGGAAGCAGGTGTGAAGATGGAGGTCAAAGCCAGGAGGCTGGGGGTCAGTGTTGAACCTGCCTAGAGCAGCAAGGCCCACGGTGGCCCTCCGCCACGGCCCGCCTGGGGTTCGGCTCTGACCTGCCTGCCCACCTCCCGTGGGCACTCACGTCATGACCAGCGTCTCGTCCCCCGGCTCACTCAGCAGCCCGTCCACAAACACGGAGGTGCTGGTGAAATTGTGCGTGCTCCAGGTGAGGCCCTCGTCCACACTGAACCTGCCGAGAGAAGGGGAGTCACCACCTCGGGGCAGATGGGAACACATCCTGTATCCAGGACGAGCTGCCTCGCTGGACCCAGCCCTGCCCATGCCCAGGGACCAGAGCTGCCCAGCTGAGGTGGCTGGGAAAACAGACAAGAGCAGTGGCCAACCCCAGGGCCAGTCCAGTGTCTCGGCCACAAGAGGATCCCTGACCTCACGCTCTCCTGGGAGGTCACAGCAGCCACCCACCACCAGCAGATGGCGTCCACATCTGCTTGGTGACACCACAGTCAAGGAGTCCTGGGTGTGTGGTCTGGGTCCCAAGCTGCTTTGTACCCCTTGAATTGCAGTTATCCAGGCCTTGGAAACACCCAGGGCAGCCCCACCCAATGCCCGAGGCCAGCCCAGGGTTTGCCGGGTCATTGATGGGAGCTTACTGTCTCTCAGTGAGGCATATCAGTACAGCCAGCTGCAGTGCAGAAAGATCTTTGTCAGACTAAAGTGATATTGGCTTCCTGGCAGCTCCCCCAGCTCTGCCTTCCAAGTCCAGAGTTCATATCTGCCCTCACTCCCCCACAATAAACCTTCACCTGTCTGAAGCTGATGCCAACCCCACTCTCACCTGGGCACACGCTGCTGGCTTCCTTCTCTGACCCCACCTCCTCCACTGAGCTAATTCCTGTCCATGCATAAAAGTCACCTCTGACAAGCCCTCCCTGCTTCCCGAGGATGAGGTGGGTGGGGGCCTCCTCACAGCCCCAGGCTTCCCTCTGGCCCACCCGACCATGCTGGGTCATCATTCCCCACCCGACCATGCTGGGTCATCATTCCCCATTTCCTCACCTCTCCAGGCCTGGCCAGAAGCAGCTGTTGGGTGGGGGGACTGGGGACTATTCTGAGGGGTTCCTAGGTGGGGAGAAAGAGCCCCTACCACCCCGCACCCGGTGCTGGCTCCCAATGGCCTTACTTGAGGATTTTCAAGGGGATGGAGGTGTCCTTGATGGCCACGATCACGCCACCGTGGTCCAGGTAGAGGATGTGATGCTCCTCCTGAAATACCTGCAGACGACAGCAGGCGGGGGTCTGAGGGCGGGACCCTGAGGAGGGTCGGAGATTGTTCAGGGTCTGGGGTCGCTCTCCAGCAGGGCAGAACTGCCGACACGCTGCCTGGGGGGCAGCAGCAGAGTCCGGTTCCCTGAGGCGGGGCTGGCCTGAGGGCTCCCGGCATCCCCAGGCCATCCCCAGGCTCCCCCAACCACCCAGACTCAGTACGTGTGGGATGAATGGATGCAGATGGCAATTTCTAGACCATTGACAAGAGAGAAGAATGCAAATAAACACTGCAGGTGGTCCTGCCTAAAGGAAAAGCTCATGCACCAAAAAGGCTGACACATAAGGATGAGAAATAGTGGAATTTAGAAAAGCATTTAGGATAAGAGTCACCAGTAAAAGCAAACCTCTATTTGACATTAAGATAGTCCATGTGCCACCTCCTTCAGGAAGCCCTCCCTGATGCCAGGTTGGGTGGGGAGCATCTCTGGCCCCCCTGCCCCAGCACTTACTGCACTAGTTTGTCATTGTTTCCTCCAGCCAGGGAGCTCCTCAAAGGCCGGTCCTGCCTCTGAATCCTTTCTGTGGTCCGGCACATGCCTCAGCTCACAGCTGGGGGTGGCTGTGCTCAGGGAGTGTGTGGGGGATGAATGAACGAATGAGTGAATGAGTGAGTCTCCACCAAGTCCTCAGGGGACAAAAGGTCGAGTGGCCTGGACAGGGCTCTTGCAGGAGGAAATACCTCTGCTGGCCTCGCTTGTCTGCAAACAGCCCTGGGGTGGGGTCCCATTTTACAGATGAGCAAGCTGACGCTTGGAGCTATGGGGGCCAAGCCAAGGCCTCAGAGCTGGTGGGTGGCAGAGCCGGGTGTGGCTCTTTAGTCCTGCCAGGACACCGGGCGTCCCCCTCTAGATCTTCCATGAACACAGATACCTAGACGGTCAGCCTGTGTCTTGACTCCACACAGAGAAGGGCACCAATGTCCTCTGCGACGTCCCCTGCAACCCTGTACCTCGTCTAGAGGAAGTGGCCCCATCACGACCACCTGCAGTGGGCCAGGGCCCCATTTTCCTCCCACCCTGTCTGACCGTCTCAGGGCCTGTGGGTTCTGTGGCAGGGGTGCAGGGAAACTCAGGGGGAGACGGAATGGAGCCAGGACCCCACACCCACAGCCCCTCGCCGGGGCCTGCGCGCTCATGGGTGTCAGCCGCTCCGCACAGGGGCCTGGCTAGGCCTTGGTGCCTGTGGCTCTGGGGCCCCTCCTGGGCCGGGGAGGCAGCTGCTGCAGAGCTTGGTGCCGAGCGAGGCCGGAATAAGTGCATCTCCAAGCAGATGTAGACCCAAACGTGGCTGCATCTGCACTTACCCTGGCAGAAAGAGCCCCGAAAGCTCCCACACCCCGGGGACCCTGTTCTAGAGCAATGAGCGACCAGGAACGGGGAAATCATTTAAAAAAAACCCACACACACCCAAACAACTATTAACTAGCACCTTCCCCCTGATCTTCTATCTCGAGTCTTCCTTTGTTTGAATGTCTGTTTTTCCAGAGCCAGCGGGAGGCACTCGGGGAGGACCCCAAGCAGACGCCTCACCTCTTAGGAACAGGAGCTTCAGCAGAGCTGCTGGTGCCTCCAGGCCAGCCCCTCAGCCCTGACATCCCATTACCCCCACACCCCCTAACCCCACCAGAACCTTCCAATGGCCCCCATGGCTCTTAGAATCACATCCAAACCCTTCCCTGGTCATTGGGGCTCTGTATGAGAGGCCCTTGCCCACTCTCTCCCACCTCCCGTATACCAGTCACCCTGGCCTCCTTTCCCTGAACACGTCTCAGGCCCTTTGCACATGCTGTTCCCTGCCTGCAAAGCTCTTCCCCAGATATTTCCACCTTCTCATCATCTTGCTGGCTTTCCCGCTGCTCACAGGAATTCTCTAGGAAACCCTTCTGGCTTGACTAAACAGGAGAGGTCCCTTACGAAGAATGGTGGAAGAGACCTGGATACCTGCGAACTGTGCCCTTAAACATGTCTGATACCGGGGAGGGGAGAACTGGGTGACTGGCACGGGGGCCTCTGCTGCGCGTACAGAGCCTTGTTTAATAGCAACCACGCTCAGAGGTCACCTCCTCATTTTCCAAAGAGAGACCAGAGGCTCAGAGACACACAGCGACTTGCCTACAGCCACATAGCTAGCAACTGGCAGCGCCAGGGTAGAGACCCCGCCTGCCGCATCCACCAGGAGCTGCTGTCGCCACGAGCAGGACATTCTCAGCAGGAGGAGGATCTGTGTCCTGCGAGTGACGAGGTCGCAGGGTGGGGTGAGGGCCCAGAGCACTAGCTTGGGGCCTCCCGGATCCACCCCTGCATCTCCCTCCCCCCAGATTCCATGGGCGCGCCTGCCAGGGTCAGAGGAGTCCCTGCGCCTGGGTGCCCTAAGCTCTGGCAGGTGCTCCGGGTGGCACTCTGGATAAGTGTGCTGCCTGTGGCTACGTTAACTCAGATAGCACCTCCTGGATGAGGGAGGTGACGTCGTGCAGATTTAGGTACCGTGGGGAAGAACTTTGCACAATTCCCCTCCCCGTCTCTCCACCCGTCAGACACACCCAGTGTTTCAGGTCCTCTGGGTCCTGGGATCCAGAGGTAGAAATGAAAGCTTAACGCCCCAGAAATTCACAGCCCAGGGAAACACCCACCCCCCCGCCGCCCCCCGCAAGGAGACAGACCACCTCCACCCAGTGACTCGCCCACTCGGATACCAACAAGCAGCCCATCGAACCCACCCTCTCTGCCCAGCCCAGGTTCTGCCACAGTACAGGGCTCCCAGCCCGTGTTCTGGGGGTGAATGATGTTCTCCAGTTAAACTCGAGACCTGAGCCAGCGGGCACCCCGGGGGTGGGGGTGGGGGTGTCACAGCACGTTGGGCGGGGCAAGGGCATTACGGGCAGGGAAACAGGGTGTGCAGAGGAGGTTAAAGAGAGCAGTGTGGCCAAGTGGGGGGCGGGGCACGAGCTGCTTGCTGGGGCTGGAACTGCGGGCAGATGGAGAGGCCCGTGGGTGGCCCGGGCAGCAGGGCCCGTGGGTCAGCCGATGGTCGGGACTTTCTCCCTCCCGTAGATGGTGGGGGACACCCGAGGTGGGGAGTGAGAACAGATTCCCCTTTTAGAAGCTTCCTGGGGGAGGGACGCTGGGGGGGAGGGGGAGGTGCAGCAAGCAGACAGTCTTCTCTCCCAGGCAATAGTGAGCTCTCTGTCCTGGGGATTATTCAAGGAGAAGCTAGGCTCCCTCCTGGGACCTCCGGGCTGCCAGGCAGGGTAGGGTGGCGGAAACCACGCTGGGTCCCTTGACGTGGTCCTAGAGGCACATCGCATGCCGCAAGCACATCTGTCTCTGCCTTTGAACTTGCAGAGGCCTCTGCCCACTCGCCCGGTGGGAGCCCTCCTCCCCACTCCACTGGGGGCCTGACCCGCTTCCCTTCCTGGGGAGATCCGCAGGGGTGGTACAGTGAACGGTAAGCCGGAAGTGGGTGGGATTGCTCCCAAGCAGGATTTAGCTCCGGGGCACCGCCTCGAACGTGTGCACAACCCTCACTTGTGCTCAGACCCAACATCCTTTGCACCCTCCTCCCGCAAGGACAGGCAGGGGGGCGTTTGTCCTGTCCATCCACTGAGGAGATGGGGTGCCTCCCAGCCATCCCAGGGGACCCCCACGGGCAACCCCACTCTCGTTAGCTTGGGACTCAGGAACAAGGGGGCTCCAACACCCACCACTCGACCACAGGGTCTTTGCACATCCTTTGCTATGGTTTTCTGTGCCTTGACCATCGCCTAGGCAGGGGTCCCCCAATCCTTTCTCTCCCACACCCTGAGTTCTAGAGGGGGCTCCTTAAATGTGTTCTGGCTATTTTTTGATCGTTCTGGGGAAGTCATGTTTTTAAAATGATACATCCTCCCCCCAAAAAATAAATAAAATAAAATAAAATGATACATCCCTTAAGCATCATGCACAGTGGTACTTGTAATTCACATTCTAAGAGTTTCATTGCATCCTTGACAAACCGGCCTAAGCTCACCTGGTCGTCTGGCCTTCATGCCTTTGTCCCACCCTGGCCTCTGCCTACTGCCCCCCACCAGTAATCGCCCTCCCTCTGACACCCACGCGCACACACGGGCACCCCCCGATCCTCTGCCAAGCACCCGAGCCCCCCATTCCCCCACCCCTCCCCCATCACTGGGGAAGAAATGGGTACCTCAGCTCAGTCTTGAACAGACATTCTCCCATTTAATTCTGACAAGTTCCCAAGTTTGAAGTCTAAGCAAATTGCTTGACAAAAGTGGCCACCGTGAATACCTTTCTCTTCTGTTTCACCTGGTCTGTAAAGTCTAACAAGCCGGGAGCAGGGGGGCGGTTTCTCTAATAAGTGGACAGGTGGTGAGAAAGTTTAGACATGTTTCACTAGTTTTAGTGAAATAGGACTATTATAACACAATAAATCTCTTTTGCCCTTTTCAAAATTCCTTGTTTCTTGCATATTATTAAAAAACGCCAGGGCTTTAAACCCAGGGTCCAGGTGAGCTTCACACTTTGGGGGTTAACATATTTGTCCAGAGTGGTACCTGGGCAGGGGGCTCTAAGTGGGATACTCAGGGGTGCAAAAAATTGACCTGAAAACAGAGCTTCTTACATCCACCGAAAGAGGAGATGCACACAAAAATTTAGTGCACTTTCTTAAGCAGTTAAAGTAGAAACTGTCACTCCATGAAGCTGGCGGACCAGATGAGACTTTTTTTCCGCTGGAAAGAAATAGCAAAGGGTAGAGGGAGACGGGGCCTCTCCTGGGGCGGAGCGCGTGGGTTCGGCTCCTGGGCTGCCTGACTGCACAGGACGCTGGACCGTCAGCCTTCGCTCCCCACCCGCCCTGCTCTGCGTGACGCCCACTGGCCGGCAGCATCCCGCCCTCCAGTCTGAGAATTTGAGCCGCATGTGGGCGCAGCAGGGGGGGGTCCTCCCAGTGTGGCCCCCAGTGCTGGGGGCCGTTCCCTGCGTAACTGCTTTCCCCTGTTTCTTCTCCCCTTCCTGCTTTTCCTTTTCTCGGGCCACACTGAGCGTCAAATCATCAGCCCATGGATGTGTCCCAGGAGGCCCAACCCAGGCTCGCCGTGGCCCCCCAAACCCTGCTCCTCCCCATTTTCTCTTTCTCTCCCAAGTCTGTGCCATCCACTCAGCAGCTGCCCCTGCCAGGAACCCGGGGGTTGTCCTCGGGGTCCCCACTTCCTGGCCTTTGGGCTCAGCCAAGCTTCTGAGTCCCCGTGTGGCTTCCTGCCGGAAAGCACCTCCAGCCCGTCCCTGGCATTGATCCCCATTGCTTCGATGTTCACGGTAACCTGTCTGACCGTGGGAAGATGTGTCAGGTCTGGAATTCTCCAGCAGTGGCTGCTGAAAGAACAGCAGCGGTGTGGGCAGCCTGGCCTGGGCTCTCTTTTCACAGATGGTGATGTAACATCTGCTAAAGGGAGCCGTGTGCAGCCCCTCAGGCTGGGGAAGATGTAGAAGCATGTCTCAGAACTCCTCTGGGAGGGGGGGGATGAGAGAACAGACTCTCCCAGGAGCCTCGGCGGAGCGAGCATGGTGGGCTCCAGGCCCCTCCCTGCCACCTTACCTGCCTCCAGGTGTGCCCACAGTCTGATGTGATGTACATTTCTTCTTTATATTCCACAAGCTGGGAGCCCAGGTTACCTGGTCCAGAAGCAAAGTGGCAGGGTTGCTCTTAGGATCGGCCACTCTTCCCCTTACCAAGGTCTGAGTGCAGCCAGATCCCCAAACAAGGTTGGTGTTTGATGTGCTCTGGGTCTACACCTCCCAGCACCAAAGCCACCCGGCGGATGCCCCTCTCTGCCCTCCTTGTATAGTGAAGGGCCTGCTGTCACCACTACGGGTCCTATTCTGAGCAGTAAAAGATTAACTTTGCCCAGAGAAAGCCAGCCTCAGGCAGCTCCGGCTGAGCCCAGGTGCAGGCAGAGCTTGGGGGCTTCAGGGGGCCCCACAGTGACGAGTGTGATTCAGGAATAAAAAGCATGGAGTGGGGGTCGGGGACAGGCTAGAGAGGATGCTGGCCAGGTGGGCAGTGTGGGGACATGGCAGCCCCTGATGGGCTTTAAACTGCGGCAAGACATGGCTGGGCTTGCATCTGGAGGCCCCTTGGGGGCCGGGTGCGGGAGAGGCCAGAGGCAGGTCCAGGGCAGTCTGGGGCAGTCCAGGTGAGAGGCAGGGTAAGCACAAAGTAGGCGCTCATTAAGTATCTGTTGAGGGGATGTTTGGGAGGATGGTGAGGTGGGCACCAAACCAGCTGGGCAGCCAGGAGGATCCTCCTTGGTCCTGGTTCACTTGAAACCATACCAGCCTGGCAGGTGGGTCACCAGCCTTGAAGGCCACCCTGAGGGGCTGGCACTTAATCCTGGGGCTGCTGCCAGAGGAGGAAGAATCCCCACTTAGCATCCAAGGTGATCCCAGCTTACAGATAGGAAACTGAGTCTAAGTGGACCCCTACAGAAAGAACGATGGCCACCTAGAAGACGCAGCTGCGGGACAATCTTGGTGGTCTCTGAGCTGGGCTGGATGCCCCTAAACAGCCTCCTGGGAAGGGTCTTGGACAATGGGATCTTCTGATGGGTCAGATTGGGCATGCTTCCGCTGTGACCACATGATGATGGCAGGGACCAGGGGCCTGAGCTTCTAGGATGAAGGGGACCTGTTATGAGAACACTGAAGCCATTCTGGACTCTCTCCTGGAGCCCCTGACCTGGGCAACTTGTGCACCACTTGCACTTTGGAGACTTATTCATGTGGTGCTGTCAGGAGTGTCTCTTCCAGAGCCAAGTTTAGATGTCACTGGAAAATCCCAAAGGAGATGGATTATCCTCAAATAGATGAGGCAAAGTGCGTTCAAGTACAGTGGCAGAGGGTTTGTGTGCTGCCTTTTTTTTGAGGTCCAACCAACCACCAAATCTTCCATCCATCCATCCATCCATCCATCCTTCATTAATTTATCATCTGTCCATCTATCTACCCATCCGTCATTAATTTATCATCCATCCATCCATCCAACATCCCTCCATCCATCCTTCATTAATTTATCGTCCATCTATCGATCCATCCACCATCCCTCCATCCACACATCTGTCTCTTTTTCATCAATTGCACCCACTCACCCACTGCTGCACATTCATCAGCATTTGCTGAGTGGCTGCTCTCTGCCCAGCCTCGTGCTGAGCTGTGGGGAATCCAAGCTGGGTCACCATGTGCCTGCTCCCAGGGAGCTCTCAACCTAGCCGGGTAAGAAGGATGCCCTGCAATTGTGCACAGAGCCAGGATGCCTGCGAGCCCAGGGAACTGTGAAAGCAGAGAAGGGAAAGCTAACGGACCCATGCAGGAGGGGAATCAAGGAGAGATTCCCGCAGGAAGTGACCTCTGCACCGTGCCTCAAAAGACAAATGCCACCGGCCAAGGGAAAGGGGCAGGTGTGCCAGGCAGAGGGACCGGCCTTGGCGACAGCATGGAGGTGGGAGGGGAGGTCAGTCAGGGGAGGTGGGGCAGAGGGCCAGGTACTGAGCTGGGTTCCCTTCTACCCGCCTGGCCACCAAAAGGTGCTGAGGAAAGGCTGCTGAATGAAAAGAGGGAGATGAGTGAATGAACGCAACAGCTGGGCGTGGGCAGAGGAAGGAAGGCGAGCCCTTTATCTCCCTATCCTTCCAGATGCCAGCAGAGACGCCAGGACCCGCGCATCAATGACAGAAGCCGTGCAGCAAAGGATGCGGCGTCAGCTCAACTTCCCAGGCAAATTTGCAGTCCGTGATTTCAGGGGTGCGATGTCTGTCTTTGAAGTGACGCAATCTGTTTTCCTTGTTCTCTCTACCAAGGCTGTCAGGCTGCCAGGCACCTAACAGGCACCGGGGGAAATTAAGGGGAAATTCACAGAACGCATCCACAGGCCACCAGAGTGGGAGGCTCTGCAGGAACACGGGGGCTGGTGCCCTCACTTTATGGAGGGGAAACTGAGGCCTGGAGATGAGACTAAGAAAGGCCTCCCTCTACGTCCCCTCCGGGCTGTTCTGGGGTCTCCTTGGGCCTCCTCCTCAGACACCCCGACCCCTCCACCCCGCTTCTGTGCTCTCAGGGCCTGGTATACAGTAAGCGCTCACTTACTGCATTTCCTCTCCCTGCTTCCTCGGTCTTCAGGTTGTGGAGTGGCTCAGGCCTCAGGGCCAGAACAGAGCAAAGCGACAGCACAAGATCCACCCCAGCCCACAGCTGGCAGAGGCGGAAGGTGGCCTGGACCCCTCACCGTGGCCCCCAGCGTGGCAGAGCAAGCCCTGCGGCAGCTGGAACAAGAGTAAGGGGACCACCCCTCTGGTCCTCTGGTTGCTGCCAAGTCCCCGGCTTCTAGGGCCCGGGTGACCCCGCCTGGCTGATGGGCCTCGGGTCAGCTCTTGACCTCCTCACGGCCCTCAGCCTCTCTTCTGGGATTGATGAGATTGATTGATGGGATTGATGGGTCCCCGACTGGCTGAATCACAGAGGAAGGGACTCTGCAGGATGGCTGGGAGGCAGGGCTCCTCCCGGGAGCCCCGGGGGTCTTCCTGGCACAGAGCGGGCGGGGGTGCTCTGAGCCTCCCGTCCCGGCCCCTCAAGGTTTTTTCAGTCATGTGACTGTCAGAGCCGGCGTCCGGGAAGCGTTTGCAGCCTGTGCTCTGTGTGGTCCTGAGGGTTCACGTCCAGACAAGGAGCCGGAAGCAGTGTGTGCTGCGCGGTGGCCCAGGACGGGCGCAGGGCAGTGGGGCAGGAAGGGCCTTCCACCTGCATCAGACCTTTCAGTGCCCCCAAGCCCGAGATTCTTACCCTCATTTCACAGATGAAGAAACTGAGGCTCAGGGAGGTGTAGAGTCCCAGGGCAAGAGCTCGGAAAGGCCCAAGTCAGAATTGGGCCCGGCGCCCTCTGTCTCAGCCATCCTTCTGTGATTTGCTACCTTTGCGGGACGCATCCCCTTGACACGCCCAGTCAGGAAGAACATTCCAGCTGGCACTCTCGGCCCGCTGAGTTTATTTCTGGGTTCACTATGGCTGTTTCTAGACCCTGACAGTTAGAAGCTCGAGTTCCAGTCTTTGCTTCTTTTTTTTTTTTTTTTTTTTTTCTTCACAGGCCTCTCACTGTTGTGGCCTCTCCTGTTGCGGAGCACAGGCTCCGGACACGCAGGCCCA